TGGGACGGAGCTTCGGCCGGCGGGGTTATGAATCCGTCCTTGACCTCGGAGGAGGGTGTGGGGACACTGCGGAGACAGGACTGGTAAGGGGTGCACCTCCAAAAGAAGGAGCCAGGCTAGGATGGGGCCCTGAAAACCGGGAGGTTACGTCCCCAGGACCCTCTGTTTCCTCAGAGGATGAAGACGTCTGTGGAAAATCGACCACATGTTCCTATGGAGGGAGCGGAAGGTTGTGCCCAGAGCGCGGGCCTGAGAGCTGCTCATAAGCGCTCGGCCAGGTACAGCAGCCGCGCTGAGCTGGGGGTCCTGGTGCCCGCTGGAGAGACGTGCTGCGCTGGGGTCTGCGGGTTAAACATCTCTGCCAGGGCAGGATGGTGCTTTGGCCTGGCCTCACTGGGCGCCGTGGAGCTACGAAGGCTCATGAAGGAGCTACGAGAGCTACATTCCTCCTTCTCCAGGCGAGATCAGGGCCTGAACATGGGCAGTTCTGCCCTGTTTGGGTTGTTTGTTTTTAGAGTGCTTTGAGTATATCAGTGCGGTGGAGCAGGAGCGTCCTGAGCGGGCCGGAGAAGAGTTTGTTTGTTTTAATGGAGCGGCAGGCTGCTGTTTGCCATGGTGTTTGCCATGGAGCTCTGTTGGCGATGTGGCAGAGGCCGTGCTGGGGACGTGTCCAGGGGACACATCTCACCCTCCCGAGGGTGAACCGGTGTATGTGGCATTGAGGAAGCTTGGGGACGTGCGGCTGTACCCCTGCGTCACTCCATCGCAGACGTAGGCTTACACTGAGGGTGATTAACCTTTGCCTGTTGATCATGGTTTTTGTGCTGCACTTCCTCATCGCCTGCAAAACCACCCCAGCAACGTAGATCGCTCCAGGCGGCTGATGGAGATGTCCTTTTGCCCAAGGTCCACCCTCCTCTGGCATCCTGCTAGCTGGGTTCCCAGCCCTGAGGAAAGCTACCCCATGTTTGAGGTGTGTTATTTGGTTTCCCTTGGCACTGTTCTGCTGGTTAGGAAGATGCCACGTTAGGGTTAGGTTTGAGAGCTGCTGAAGATCAGCTCCTCTCCAGGAGTCAGTGGTCCCATTTCTGGGACTTCCGAAGCTCAGGTTTTGACAAACTAGAAGAATGGGGTTTCTGTGCTATTATAAATGGCCAAACAACCTGCCACATGTCTTGTCTTGAGTCAAACTGATTGCTGTCCATGTAGCTTGTCGCACGAGTTTTCATACGCTCTGTAAGTGCCTTTAAAGCTACTGCTTGGCCTGATCTCTGCACAAGGATGAGCCTGGTGGCTTTGGAGTGCTGGCTCTCCTGCTTAATTCTGGAAGTCCAGAGAGATGTGAATCTGTTTTTAAATGGACCTCATCCATTTCATGGGAAGTCCTGAAACCAGTGGTCAAGCTAACGTTTCTAAACTAGTCTGAGAAAACTTTTGGATGAATGATCTCAGGCTCTTGTAGGTGGATCTTTATTCTGAAATTCAGATAACACTCCTCTATGCATCTGTGATTCTACCCTGGGCTGTGTGTTATCTTACAAACCACTTTGGTTTATTTTGGATAGTACTTTTGGACCTCGTTTGCTCTCAGGAGGAGGATATTGTTAAATGTCAAACAGGTATTGTTTCCACCCGCTCCCACTGAGATTCCGTTTTTCAGCATACTGAACAGGATAGCGACTAAGAGCACAGTAAATACTACCAAACACTCCCTTAATGCAAATATGCTGTAGGAGCACATGCCTCGCTTTCGGTGACCTGTCTTTCTGGCTCTTCTCTACTGATGTGCAGTTTTATCTGCCTGCAGTATCTCCCTGCCAACCCAGGCTGAGGGGGCTTTGGGAGGGAACTTCTCTGTTCTCTGGGTGCAGGTCTGAAGCGCCCAGCAAAGCCTCAGAGCAGCAGCTTGACAGACCATCTCCAAGTCTAGTTGTTTGCGACTGGACTTTGTCCGCACTGGTATTTTGTTGCTATAACCACAGCTGTTGTGCTAATCTAGTCAACTGCTGCAGGCTGTGGTTTATCGTGCTCATCAGGAGTAATCAACACTCTCCATCACTTGGCTGCTTTAATTTTGCAGCCTGCCTGGCCTCTTCTTCCCAGAAAGAAGTACTTCTTCAGCTTCCTCAGGTGCTTCAGCCTGACCCTTTGAGGTAAAGGCCTTCTGGATGGGTGCAAACTCTGCAGTTCGGCTGTGTGGAGCCTGACAGCCTGTGGGAGCAGAGCAGGTTGTGCCATGGGCAGGCACTGGCACAAAAGCTTCTCCTGTTCAGGCTGCCCGATACGACCTGTTCCAGTAAACAGTGCCAGTGCTGGCCCAGCTGTCATCAGTCCTCGTGTCCGTGACTGCCCTTCTCCTGTGCGTGTGGGTTTGCAGGAGTGCCCGTGCACACAGTGTGCACACAGAGCCCAGCTGAGGGTATAGAAGGTGCTGGTTAAAGACAGCTCCCTTCCATGTGCTCCAGAGATGACTGAGGTTACAGGGGGTTGCAGCTGATCCCATCTCTGCTCTTGTCTGTGATATCCCACACGCTGTACTGACATGACAGTTAGAGCGTCTGCTTGAAAAGCCCCTGTTGTAGTATCTGCTCTTTGTGCTGATTACTATTCCTGGGGAGCACAGCTGGATTGCTGTTGTCACTGTGTGAGGACTGTGCCCCCACGCTGTGCTTTGCCCTGTAAGTTGGCTTCTTGCTGTTCTGTACTATGGATTCAGCCTTCCTGTGTGACCTCCTGTAGCTCTAAGTGCTCTCTGTTTGCTGGACCCTGTGGGTGTGGGGCTGAACACACGCAAAGAGGGAGCTCTGTCCTTCTGCAAGCACGTGTCTTTCCTCGAAGAGTGGATTCTGCTATTGCCCTTTGTGTTGGCAGCAGAGAAGACTGTGTGGTATTTTTTGCTTGCCTCCTTCCTCCTTTCTTTGTTGGGTTTGCAATGTGCCTGGAGGCTTTAGCTTGATAATTTGCCAGGAAGTTAAACCCATCATTAGCCTGTGTCTTTGCAGTGCCCTGGGTGTGGGCCAGCATGCTTCCTGCTTTGGGGCACGAATCGTAGTTCTTGCTAGGATTAGCTTCCTCCTGGCACCACAGCACCAAGGCACGTGCTCCCATCCTGCTCTGACGCCTTTCTCAAACTCATCGGCCCTGTGTACTCCCACACGATCCTCAGCAGGGTCAGGCGGAGGGAAGATGAACAGTGCTGCCTGATCCAAACGAGGAACCTCCTTTTGGAAGCTCCTTGTTGAGGGAATTGTAAAGCAGAAAGGAGCATCTGGGGCGACTAGTTAAAGATGTGAGGATTTATTCTTGCATTACTCTCGCTGCTAGGAGCTATATCTTCTGGTGGGTAGAAGGGTTTAGGCTCCACTGTCTTAATTTCCTGTAATTTTGCCCCCCTTCTAAGTCTGGAATGAGGTTTCTTTTCTCTCCCTGAGTTGTCTTGTTGGTTTCTTGATGATCCCAAATGTCACTACCGTAATTTTACATCTGAAATCATCCACAGACTTGGGAGATCTGTAGAGCTGAGGATGAGGTTGGATGGAGGGTCTAGATAGTCCTGATGGCACTTTCTTTGAATGACCCTTGTCCTCTCACTTGAGTTGCAACCTACTGTAGGCCTGTTGTCACCATTCAAATGCCTTCCTTCCATGGAGGAAAAACTTCAGACTTTGGAAAGTGCCCTGAAAACTAAGTTAGGTCTGCAGCATGTGAATTTTTATCATGTTGCAAGTTATAGGAAGACAACATGTTCTGCAATACATGTGTCGCAAGCCATATAAGAGTGATTATCTTCAGCCTGTGCCCCCAGCAAGAAGGGAACAGGACACAACCCTTGTCTGTCTGCACCATAAACTGCTGGTGAACTCCCCATGTGCTCTCCTCTGTGTGCTCTCCTCGTCTGTCCCAGCCATCTGTAATGTGCTGCTGGCCCCGGCTGCCGGACTGTGCTGCTGCTTTCTCCACCATGTTGTCGTGTGCCATAAACTTTTCCTCCAGGTATTATTCTCCTTCTCAGTCTCTCAGAGGTGATCTGTCATCCTTCGAGAATATCTCACAGGGTGGCTACTTTTTCCTGATCTCTGAGTGACAGTTTGGCAGTAGGAATGGGGACAGTACTGACTACTTTTTCCTGACTTGTTGCTCGGGAGAAACACAGACAATCACAATACTTTGTGGCAGTGGGATGAGAGATCAAAGACACAGAAAGACTCCTGTCCAGTGACTGAAAACTTCTGTGTGTTGCTGTGAATTTAGCCCTGTAACCTGGCCCGCAGTCACCCCAGCAATTGCTCTGCTCTCTGCTTTCAGACTCGCTGTACGTCTCCGAGTACTTCTCTCAGAGTGCACAGAAGCTGTCCTTCTACAGCTGGTATGGGAATGCCAAGCTCTTCCACTTCCACGTGCCAGAAGACACTGTGCTGCTTCGCTGGCTCCTGCAGGCATCCAGGGGGAAAGGCCCCGAGTGCACCGACATGGAGGTCACCGTGTACGTATCTCTGCCCTTGCTTGCACACATGGCCTCTCCTGTCCTCCTTGGGTCCTTGCTGCTCTTCGTGGCAGGTATCTCTTCAGAGGAGGCTCTGGATCTGCTCCCCAGCTGCAGCAGGCAGTTTCTTGGTGTTGCACTAGCACTGGATCGCCAAATTTTAACAAATAGGAGCATGTCGTGACTGTGTTACTGTTGGATCTGGGGGATCTTGATTCAGTGTTTAAGAGATGCCTTAGAAATGCTGCAAAGAGCTTCACAATGAGACTAGTGTTGCTGGTCCTGAGCAAAGGTGGGTTGGGCCCTTTCTGTCTCTGATAGGATCCTGCACATGGTGCCAAAGGATGTGGCAGAATGACAGGGGGCTTGAGAGGAAGCTGGGAGCTTTTCTCTTGAGCTCTTTTGAGGAGCGTGAACTCTGCCCACAGAAGGGATAAAAAAGCAGTGCTGAATATTAGTGACCCAGGAACATTAGAAGGTGGCAAATTCAATGCCAGTGAATCAAATGCTGCCCAAAGCTGTATTTGAGTTGTTGGAGGGTTTAAGACCAAGAATTTACAAGGGTGGGAGGGTGAATGCTGATAAGGAGTGTGAAACTTTGGGCTGTGAGGGTTCCGCATTATCTGGGAAGATCCTTTCCTTAGGGATACTTGAATTTTTTGGAGACCTTATGGGTCTGGGATCTGCTCCAGAGGAGTCTTGAGAGCAAATGAAATTTGCTGGTTGGCCTGTGCTTCAGCTGGTCTCTCTTGGATACAGATCTTTGCTCATTGCTGCTCCAGGTCAGCCTCAAATAGAATATTTTTCAGTCTTGGGCTTCCCAAAAACATTGTCCATTAATTTGGAGGGAGTGAGGGATGAGGAAAGAGCTAAATGTTAATTTTAAAAAAGAAGATCAGTCCAGCTGATCTTCTTGATATTCTGAAGATAAGTCCAGCTAAGTTAAGGTGGGTTGTTAATACATCACCTGTAATGTTTGCTTGCTGGACCTGTTATGTCCGTTGTTCTGCTGCAGTACTCTAGTAGTTTGGAAATGGAGCAAATTACATGCCAAATTGGCTGCCCAGATAAATATGCCCTGTATTACTTAGCTTTACTAGTATTTCAAACCACAGGCTGTTTGTTTATCTTGAAAGCAGAAGTACCCGTGGACTAAAGTCAGTCACATGGACCTTCCCTGGTAAGTGTCTTTTAGGCTGTCTGTCCTCCTTAAAGGAGGCAATGGGAGAGATGCAGATCTTAGCTATAAAAAGAAAGCTCTTAATTGACGATTTAGCCTAGCCAGCTGTAAGGGGAATTTGCTGATGGTTTAAAGGAAAAAAAAAATAATAAAAGTCTTGCGACTGCAGCTTAACCTTAGTAAACACTGTGGAAGTTTGCTTTCAGGCTTGATAGAATCATGTAAATCCTTATCTTAATGAGCAGGCAAGTTAAATCAATCTCTAAATAAATCTAAGATAGCTAAAACCAGCCACTTCTCTCCATTCTCCGATAAAAATCATGATCTGTGCTCTGCTGTAAAATACAGGTTGTCCCCAACATGCTCCCTTTCTGATCTCAGACCTGCCTGGCTGTCCACTGATAAATTTATATCCCAGTTTATTCTGCAGGAGGTATTTGCATCCCATGACTGATTTGCATGTCGGTTTCTCTGCAGGCACTTTCGCTATGGAGCTCCGCCTGTCATTAATCCGCTGGGCACTCGTTTTCCTGCCAACGCAACCGTCCGTCCTTCCTATAACATAAGCATGACACTGAGCAGTGCTGTGCAGAACAACACCTTTGTGAACGTTACCACTCCTGCTGCGGGAGACTGGTTCATCGCTGCGCATCTCCCCGAGGCTGCTGGCCGAATTGAAGTGAAGGTGAGGGCCGTGGCATGGATCTCGCTCGGAATACTCTGTCTGGTGTTGTCTTGTCCTACCTGACCACTCTGTTCTCCCCTCTTGCAGGGTTTCTCCACCCCATGCACCTATATGTTTCAGCCAGATATGTTTGTGCTTAGACTCATTGATATGCCTGTTCTGGAGCCTGGTGTTGCCATGACACAAACGGTCGTCTCACCTGCTAAACCACTGCATGTCAAGTGAGTGAGAGCAGCGGCTGGAAAGGCCTGGGGCAGAGTGGGGGTCAGATTTCCTGCTGGTGCTGTTTAGGGTAAGCCGCTGTTTTTGCCCGAGGCTGGACTGCGCTCTGGAGCTGTGCTCAGAGACCTCTCTGAGCTCTTTAACAAGCTCCTGGCAGTAGAGGGACAGGGTTTGTATGGGGACACATGAGCGGGCGCTGCTCTGACTCCTTCAAGTAGTCTTAGAGGTTTAACTGCAGGAGTGGATTTGTTCTTAGAGACATTACTCCTGGGCAGGATTTTGACAACACAAACCAGGGCAGTCTAGTTCTTGCTGCAAAGCCCCTGGCACATCGTGGTGGGTCATGGCTGGCTTGTGTTCAGAGCATGGTCTGTGCAAGTTGCTGGTTCCTCCTCCCGCAGGGTCTTTGTTCCCAAGTACACCGCCACGATGCGGTTTGAGCTGCAGAGCTGCGTGGCGAGTGAGCAGAAGGCCTGTGCTGTGCGGGTTGTGCTGGGCTCCATCACGCTGCCACAGTCTTTCCAGAGGATCCTCACCTGCACCGGGAATGTAAAATGCAGCCTGAGCCTGGATTCACCCCCCTGGGAGAAGTGGCTGCAGATCATGGTGGAGAATCTTGGCACTGCCAATACCGATGTGTCTGTGGAGATGATGGCTTCTTTCACAGGTGGGTTTCCACTCCCTGCAGCTCCATGGGAAGGACCATGGGCAACCTGGACCTTTGGGTGACTGTCACCAGTGACTTGCATTCCCAAAATTCTTATTGCCTGGGCATAATCTTCCAGGCTGGGGCCTAGTTGTTGCTTTGGGATCAAATGTGTAGTTTCCAAAATTCACTGAAGATGGATAGTCCCTGGACCTGCCTGTTTGGAAATTCCCTAAAAATTTGGAATGTCCTGGTTGTGCTGACTGCTTTTTTTTTTGTCATTTTCCTTACAGCTTGCAAACCGGGAAGTACTAGTTCATTCCTTAACTTCAGCAGTCTTAACCAGAACCAAACTGGTCCCAGACCAGGTAACACAGGAACAGCAGGGAGCCACGCTCTGCCTGCAGGAGAAGCCTCACGCAACGCATCCGACCAGCAGAGTTTCTGTCTCCAGAGTCAGCCTGTTGTTCGTGAGGACCTGGACGTTGTGTCTGTGCGATACAGGCTCTTGAACGGTCCCAGTGTGCCTGTGTACTCCATCTTCCCCACCCTCCTCTTCCTCGGTTTGAATACTGGCATGGACAGCGGGGGTTCCCTTGTGGTGAATCTCCTGCTTAACAAGGTACAGTAGGCTTATTTGTATGATTGCCTTCTGTTAGTGAGGCTGGTGTCTGTCCCTGCTCTCAGCCATTTTGTAGCAAATGACAGGAGTTGTAGGTACCAGTGGGCCTGTTCCCCTTTCCTTTCTGCTGTTACAGAACACTCTGGGCTTTTTCTGGCCACATCTAGCTACTTGCCACTTGCCAGTTCAGATTTGAATGCCGTAACTTGTTGGCATGTGGCAATGACGTGGGGGAGAGGACCTGGGAAGCAGACATCTCCCCATCTCCATGGGAGCCTGGAGCTTTGCCACCAGGAGAGGAGAGTGATCAAGGAAACCCAGGGACGTTCCTGCCTGAGTCACTGATGCTCAGACTCCCGCAGTGACGTGTGGAAATCAGTTTCCCTGAAATCCTGACTAATGAAGCTTATCTCATAAGACAGTTTGCACTTCCCTGAGGGCTGGAGCAGGGCAACCATGTGATTGTGCAGGGGAATGAGCTCGTGGGGGCCCCCAAGCTAGGGGCACCTCTCCCCATGCCATCCCACTGGCAGAATGTCCCTCCCTGCCTTCCAACAAGCACATGATGCAATGACAGTGCAGGCTGAGAGGGGTGCAGTGCCCAGAAAGAGCTGGGGAGTTGTTCATTGACTTTGATGCGCAGGATTTAATGCCACCCGCTGCTTCTGCAGGGCATGGATAGCAAGGGAGGTGAAGGGTGTGCAGGAGGGGTGATGTTGAGGCACTCTGTGACCTGGGATGCTTTTCTGTTTGCACAGACGTCCCTGAGCCTGGCCAATGCCACTGTGTTAGCGTGCGTGAGTGCTGCTTCACCAGTGCTGTCCCCCAATGCTACGCAGAACTGCAGCACAGGTATGAGAGCCGCTGGCACCCACTGCCAGCCCAGCTGTACTGTATCAACACTTTGCCTTTAGGTTTTGCAGGCTGTTAACTAAGGGAGGTGCTGTGGGAAGCTGTCTCGGTGAAGCTGATTTTTGGCATAAACTCTCCTGAGATCTTGAGCACTCAGACCTGTGCAGGAGGGCTGACATGCAGATGGCAGCCTCCATGGAGCCAGCCTCCACCAGAGGAAGGCCTGTTCCCAACTGGGACTCTTCCATCCTTCTTAGCTGGAGGTTTGGGATGGTCAAGACCCCACTGGTGTGCAGAGAGGCTGAACTCTATGTTGAGGACCAACGCAGCAAGCAGTGGCTGTTCCATGTGCTTTTTGCACTCACTGGCTGTCTAGACAGGTGCTGAGAGCTGAGGCTGAGCTGACAGGAAGGATGAAGCTCTCTGGGAGCAGGGATCCTCTCCATCACCCCACTGCCTTGCTGGGATGGGAGTGGGGGGCTGTGGGAGTGCCCAGTTATTCTGCAGCTGGTCTCAGCCTGGGATTGCTGTGTGCCCTTCTACTCCTTTCCTGGTATACAACAATAACTTATTTTCTTGAAGCTTTCTTCCAGGGCTACCCTCTGAGTGTGAGCGCATCCTCCACAGAAGCGATGCTGATTGTTCTTTACCCAGAGACCAGTGACTGGTTCCTTTCTCTGCAGCTCATCTGCCCGAAGGGCCAAGGGTGAGTCTGATGTGTCATTTGGGCTTGGAGCTGGCTCGGAACACTCTGCCTCCAGATCCTGCTGCTCTTCACTAATGTGAGCAAAAGCAAATCCCTGTTACTGGTGTCCTGCCTTGTGCCATGGCAGCACCGAGGCTGGGGATGCAGAGCCAGGCCTTGGGGGTAGGAAGCAGGTGACAGTGCCAGCCTGCTGTCTTGTGGCACTCAAGCAGCTTTTTTGGTGCTGAGCTGGCATCTCTCATGCTGACTGCATGTGGCTGACAGAGCCTATCACTTGCCTAGATGGGCTTCTGGCTACCCAGGTGAACGGAGCTGTGTTGTAAATGAAAATGCTTTAAAAAGAAGTCTACAATGCAGGCAGCTGTGCTTGCGGTCCAGCAGTCTGCCTTACTGCTGGTGTAAGTGGCTAAGTGGGCTCTGCAAAACAGTGCTTGCAAACACTGGGCTGAGGAGCAGCCTGGCTACCTGGGTCAGTTTTAGGGGTCCGAGGAGAGCTGGGGCCCGCCTGCACACAGGTTTGGCCTGCAGAGTGGAGAGGAGCTGACTGTGCTTTTAGCTCTGCCTCCAGCCTCCCAGGAGGGGTGAAGCAGATTCACTGCTGACTGGATCCCTGTGCCCAAATGTCAGGAAGCTTTTGCACACATGAGTGGCCTGACTGCAGGACACAGCAAGACCAGGCAGTCTGAGACCCTCCAGAGCAGAGCCTTCCCTCAGCACAAGGCTGCCCATGCAGGCCAGGGTACCAACACGACCTCCTCTTGTTGCAGTGAATGTAACAACGCAGAAGCCAAAGTGACCGTCGTAGCGTACCTCACCCCCTGCTTCAACGACTGCGGGCTGTATGGGCAGTGCAGTCTTCTGAGAAGACATGGCTACCTCTATGCTGGCTGCAGCTGTAAAGCTGGTGAGTGCATTTTCCTAGGAGCCCTTGGCATTTGCTCCAAGGGGAGGTCACGTCCTGTGCTGTAGTGCAGGCAGGGAGCCCTGGAGCCTGCCATGGTTGCCAGACACAGCATGGACCAGGAGCTCCTGCCCCAAGAGCCCTCCACAGCACCGGCCCCTGCAGCCCTTTTTGGACAGGCAGCATTGACATTCACATCCATTTGAGGGCCCTGGGGCTTTGCCAGGTGCTTCTGGGCATCCCCAAAGAGGTAAGGAGGCCAGCAGGGTTTCTTGAAAGTGTCAGATCAAGGGCCTTTCAGGGCAATTTATTAGATAGGGTCCTCATACAGAATATGGTGAAACTGGGCTGTAGGTCCCAGTATGTGCTCTGCCATGGTGATTTCTCCCCTGCCATGAGCCTGTACATGAAGCAACCCTTGTATTCAGAGATGCCCCAAAGGAGGAATGTCTGTGTTAGCTCCTAGTT